TCAACCTTACTCAGCCTTTGGTTTCTCACTTGAAAAGTGAAAGGGTTGAAACTGATGATTGACTAGGCCTCCCCTGGCTCTAACAATGCAGGAGTAGGAGTGGGCAAGGCTTGTGTTATGGCCACTTATCTGCAAAGGAGTGTGGCGAGTGCCCCCTGGGATTCAAGAAGCTCTGGGTCCGTTTCACAAGGACCATAATGATAATGACTGATGCTTATGGAGTGTTAAGCATTGCCAGGCAACTGGTCAAGAGCATCATCTCCCCTAATCTTCTCATTAGCCCAATGGGGCAGGTTCAATTATGATCCCCATTTTACAGAGGAGGAAACAGAAACACAGAGAAGTTGCAAAACTTTCCCAAGGTTTCATTGATAAGTGGTGGTACTTAGTTTCAACACAGGTATGTTTAAAAACTCACTATGTGATTTTGGGAAGTTCATTAATTACTCCAAACCTTAGTTTCCTCGTCTATAAAGTGAGGATAATAATAATCTCTACATTCTAAAGCTGTAGTGAGGATGAAATGCTTAGAATAGTATTCTGTTGCCTAGTGACTCCTCAATCATTGTTGCTGTTGTTGTTGTTATAATAATAGTAATTATTATTCTCCTATTTCTATATTGCCAGCCACAGATTTCATTGCCAGTTTTGCTCTTACTCTTGCTCTTGTGTCTTTACTTTTACCACATGACCCTTTCCCTCCCCGTTTCCCTCCATGATCACAGCTCATTGGATCAGGGGTAGATCCCTACCCAAGGGGTTGCAATCAGATTTCTCTCCTGGGAACTGGTAATTGAGAATTGAAGGGCTGAGTCCATTGGTGGTGAGCATTAGACCTGTTATATTGGACCTTGTGCAAACAGAAGATACTGGTCAAGAGAAAGAGAGAAAGAGAAGCAGAAAGGAGAGCTCAATGGCCACTGAGAGACAAAGATGAGACAAGTCAGTTCTCTGAAATCAATAGACAAGCTTCAGACTCAGGCAGCTTTCCGCATCTAGTGACCATCAGGCCTAGTTGTGCTTCGGTTTCTGTAACCCTGATTTTACTTGTTGTATTTTTATCATTAGTCCCTGGTGGTGCAAATGGTTAAGCACTTGGCTGCTAACTGAAAGTGCAGAGGTTCAAGTCCACCCAGAGGTACCTCAGAAGAAAGGCCTGGCGATCTGCTTCCAAAAAGTCACAGCCTTGAAAACCCTATGGAGCAGTTCTCTGCACACATGAAGTTGCCATGAATCAGAAACTACTCAATGACAACTTTTTTTTTGTTTGTTTGTTTGTTTAATCCTTATCATTAATCCTTGTCTCTTATTTCCTTGATTGAGCTTGTCAGGATTCTGTGACCAGAAAAATCAGAAGCCTGGGCCTTAAGGTTGAGGTGACTGTACAGGTGTGTTCAGTGGTGTCTGGCTCCACCCTATGCCTTTAAATCAAGCTGATGCCCCCGAATCACATGACCAGGAGCTAGTTTGTGACAATTGTCCAGGACCCATGAGTTTTTCTTATGTCTTTACTTGTATGTTTTTGAATCTACTCAGTTTTTGATCCTTGTCTCTCATTGTGACCCCAAAGTCACTCCTTGAAATTGATTACAGATCAAACTTTTCTGGATTTGGACTCCAGGAGATGGGCTGGCCCTTAAGCTCGGGAGTTTCTTGCTCCTGATTACCTGGCCTGACTCCCCAGGACCCGCCTTCCTGCTGGCCTGCCCCAAAGTGCCGCTGGCAGGTGTGCCCTCTACCTCACCCTGGACAAGGAATAGCTTTAGTCTCCTAGATGTTTGCTTGGGGACCCAGAATGTGAATTGGCAGCACTTGAACAGCCTCCCTGCCTCTACATTGCCTCCATCCTTCCAGGTCCATCACCTTCATGCCATCACATTGGTCACAATGCCTTCCCTGACCTGCGCAGTCTCACCCATCAGATTTGCCCACAGGACTCCTTCCTCTGCAGCCCTTTGGCCTGTTCCAGTCATTTAGCACCCACCACCCACTGCTCTAGTTGGATAGCTACTTTTACCATGCATACCTCTCTCCTACTAAACGGTGAGCCCCCACAAGGCAGGCTTTAGCCTCGTTCTTCCCTGTAACCCCATACTGCCTAACTAGTGCCCAACACATCATGGATCATGGGTGCTTGGTGGGGTGAGGGGACACCACAGATGCTTAAGTTATGCAGTCTGTATGTGGTGGCTTCATTCTTTCCCATTCCTATTCTTCTACCCCTCGGCTAACTTCCTTTGCTAAGAACTCCCCTCAAAAAACAAACGAACAAAAAACAGCTTAGGGCTTGCCCTAGGCCATGTTTTGCTAGCAAATGAGGTTACCCAGTTGCCATCAAGTTGATTCTGACTCATGGCGACTTCTGTGTGTCAGAGTAGAACTGTGCTCCATACTGTTTTCAGTGCCTGATTTTTTGGAAGTAAATTGCCAGGCCTGTCTTTCAAGGTGCTTCTGGATGGTCTCGAACCTCCAAACTTTCAGTTAGCAGCCGAGTATGTTAACCATTTGTATCACCCAGAGAAATTACTGGGTTTTAAAAGTCAGCATCTGTCATGGATTGAATTGTGGCCCCCAAAAATACGTATATCAATTTGGCTAGGCCATGATTTCTAGTAATGTGTGATTGTCCACCATTTTGTCATCTGATCTGATTTTCTTAAGTGTTGTAAATCCTATCACTATGATGTTAATGAGATGGATTAGCAACAGATATGTTGATGAGATATACAATATTAGATTGTGTCTTAAGCCAATCTTTTCTGAGATATAAAAGAGAGAAGTGAGCAGAGAGACATGGAGACCTCATACCACCAAGAATCCAGCACCAGGAGCAGAGTGTATCCTTTGGACCCGGAGTTCCTGCTTGGAGAAGCTCCTAGTCCAGATGAAGATTGATGAAAAAGAGTTTTCTTTGGAGCCAACAGAGAGAGAAAGCCTTCCCCTGGAGCTGATGCCCTGAATTTGGAGTTGTAGCCTACTAGATTGTGAGAGAATAAATTTCTCTTTGTTAAAGTCATCCAGCTGTATTTCTGTTATAGCAGCACTAGATGACTAAGACAGCACCCTAAGGCAGGGCTCCCTCCTGCACTCCTGCATCCTGTAGCTGCCTGGCTGACTCCCAGCCAGCCTCACTATTCTCTGCAGACCAGGTGAGTCGGGTCTTTTGGGCAGGTATGACCTGGTCATTCCTCTTTTTCTGTTCTATCTCCTTGTCTTAGGACAAAAGGAAGAAAGAACCAGGAGACATCACACAGGTGTCCAGGCCTGCGCTGTTTTCCAGTTCTGTTTTAACCAAAGAGAGCTATAGGGCCATGGCGCATCATTAACAAGGTGTGCTTTGTTCCTCACGTGGTTCCTGTTCTCTAGGTATAATTCGCTCTGGTCATTTCTGATCCCCAGCCCCCACATGATCGCTGTGAACTCCTAGCAGAACTCAGTGTTTTTGAGCGAGGGGTCAGGGATTTACTCCCAGGCTCCACAGTGAGACTGAATACCCAGGGGACCCGTCTTTCACTGGTTCCCCTTCAAAGGCCAATATGACAAGGATTCCCTGAAGGCATCATGCCCCTGCCCCCCAAATTGGGCAGAAAAGACTGGAAGACACCATTCTCATAGAAACAGCTCTTTATTGAGTCAGTAATACTATGCTGTATGATATCATATGTAGACAAGAGAATTACATGACAATGGGGGTGGGTGGGTGAGTGATGCAAACCAGTTGCACATCTTTTATAACAACAAAGGTGGCATAAAGGCTTTTTGAACTGCAGAAAGGGCTCAATGCTGAGTCAGTGTTTGGGAGGAGACAGCTCTCTACTCCCACATCAAGGGTGGTCTGAATCTGAACATAAAGGCAGGGCAGCTTTATAGGGAGTTCAGCCTGTGGAGTAAAGCCCTCAGGCCTTCACCTGCTGTGGGGAATTTCCTGGAGCTCCTCTGCCAGGTGTGCAGGAAGTCTGAGGTGCTGACATCGAGTGAGCGTCTTGTGGAGTTCAGGCCCTTGCTTGGTGAGGCCTCCCACTCCTCGTGCATCTTGCTGCTCATGCAGAGGGCTCAGGCCATTCTGGGCCAGGGTAGGGAGAGGCCAGCATGCAGCCGTGGGCAGGAGAAGAGCCCAGGTGCTAGTGTGGATAGCCACACTGTGATCAGGGGACAGCCTTCTTCAGTCTAGTCTTCCCCAGTGAACAGAGATGGCAGCCTCATACTGGGCAGGGCAGGCAGCTGTGCAGAGAGCCCCAGTGGACACAGCATCTACATGCTCACCTCGGCCTCCCTCCCTCCAGCTTCAGAGGACTTTCCTGGGAGCTGGCTGCCACTTTGGCACAATGTTCCAGGGCCTGGATATTTTCCCTGTGCACATGAAACTCTTGTCTGGATTTCTTGTGAACTGCTCCTGAGAGACATGGATAAAATGCTGAACTTGTCAAGGGCACCATGGTCAGGGCCTGAGAATGATCAGTCAGATGGGGTCCTACTGTCCCAGGTGAGGCAGGGGGCAACTACCTGAGGACTCTAGTCCCATGATGATGAGGAGGGTCTTGCAGTTGCCAAATCCACCCTGTCCCTTGAGTTCTAACCATAATCTCCTGGCAAGGTTTTGCTGGGTCTTTCAAACAATGTGAGCCCCAGGCAACTGCTAGCTAGGGTGGGTGTGAAGATGCTGGGCAGAGTGGAGTAGGGGTAGACTGAAGATCTCCTTCTTGAGGTAGCCACTTCCTTGGCAGGCTCCATCACAGGAGAAGGGGTCCTCTGCTGCCCTCTCCTCCTGCCCAGCCAGGGAACCCCACTCAGCACCCCCTTACTGGCAGGGAAATGTGTGTATGTGTGTATGTGTGTGTGTGTGCATGTGGGGGGGGGTGCTGCTTTCCTATGGTTTAGTCACTACTGGGGAGCCCAAAGCTGCAGGTTTATCCCTGGGGGACTCCCCACTGGGATCACAGGACCACAACCATCTCTGTGTGAGGCTTTGTGGGGGCTCGCGCTGCTCTTACCCCCTTCCTGGCTTTCTGTGTGGCAGTGTCCTGTGCTGTCCCTCCTCAGTAAGGACTCTGGCTGCCTAGTGGGCCTGGGGGCCCAGGGAGGCCAGGGGGACCCTGGATCCCTGGTTCACCCTTAAGCCCCATGGGCCCCCGCTGGCCTGGTGACCCTGTCTTCCCTGCAATCCCCGGTTTTCCCTGAGGCCCTGGGAGCCCCTCTGGCCCTGGTGGCCCCTCTGGCCCTGGAGGCCCCACATCCCCTTTGGGGCCTGGCTGTCCTCTTGGCCCTCCAGTTCCAAAACTGCCTTTTGAGCCTTTGAGGCCCGGTACACCTCGCAGGCCAACTGGCCCCCGTTCTCCCATAGGTCCAGTGCCCCCAGGCTGCCCCTGAGGCCCCTGAGGCCCTGGGGGTCCCAAGCTGCCTGGGTCTCCTTTTGGTCCTCTGCTGCCAACAGGCCCTTTCACGCCCACATCTCCCTTGAGTCCTCTTGGTCCTGGAGGGCCAGGGACACCTATGATTGGAAAGAAAAGGGGAGAAGTCACTCCACGTGGGGCTGCTTTATAAACCTGCCCTCCTGAGGCTTTCCACAAACAGAGAAGGAGAAGGGTACAGTCACAGCCTTAGAGCCGGACTGACACAAAGCCCAGGCCTGGCACCACTTGGCTTTGGGAGTTTGGGCCAATTCTTTGATCTTCTGAGTCTGCTTTGTCATCTGTGAAGTGGGAATGATGATACTTACCTGCCTGGTGAGAGGACTCCATGAGATATTATTCTGACTCCAAGGCTTATCCATGGCTACACACATGCACCCGAGCTGGGGACTGAGAAAGCTGGGCCACTCTCGGGAAAGGCCAAGGCTGTCCAGCATTGCCTTTCCTGCCCCAGAGGCCAGCCTGGCCTGTCCCTCTCCTCATGGTCTTTGATCACTGTACTCCCCGTGCCTCACCCATAGGCTCTGTATATTACCACTTAGGCATCCAGGAGCAGAGAGGGAGTTAGGTGATATTGGGGAGAAAGGCAAGAAAAGGAGGTATCAGAAGCAGACCAGTCTGAGTACATGGGAACACAACAGCTCACAGAAAGGGCAGTACTTCCAGGAAGCCTACCTTGATCTTTCTGGCCTCTTCTCTGAGCTTTTGTGGCTATTACTTTCTGAATCTTTTATTTAGCACATAGAAGGAGAAGTAAGAATGTACTGAAAGCAAACCTGGTTGGACCCTGCAAGACTGTGGAGTCCTTAAAGAATAGATGAGGGCCACGCGTCCCACCCCTAGCCTGGACTCAGACTCTGGCATGTGGCAGAGAGCTTAGTATATGCTTGTAGAGGGTGATTCTGGGAAGGGAGAAAGAAAACTGTCTTTATTCACAGATGATATGATCGTCTATGTAGAAAATCCCGAAGAATTAAAACAAACAAACAAAAAAACAGGAATAAGTGATTATAGCAAGGTTGCAGGATACAAAATTGATCAAAGTCATTTGCTTTTCTAGATACCAGCAATGAACAATTGGAATTTGAAATTAAAAACACAACACCATTTATATTAGCACCAAAAAAAATTAAATACTTAGGTATATATTCACGCAACATGTACAAGATCAACTTGAGGAAAACAAAAACTAATGAAAGAAATCAAAGAACATCTAAATAAACGGAGAGATATTCCATGTTCATGTATTGTTGTTGTTGTTAGGTGCTGTTGAGTTGGTTCCAACTCATAGTGACCCTATAGGACAAAGTAGACCTGCCCCATGGGGTTTCCAAGGAGCAGCTGGTGGATTTGAACTGCTGAGGTTTTGGTTACCAGCTGAGCTCTTAACCACCATGCCACCATGGCTTCATGTTCATGTATAGGAATACTTAATATTATTAAGCTGTCATCTCTTTCCAACTTGATTTATAGATTCCATGCAATCCCAATTTAAATCCCAGCAGGTTATTTTGTGGCTATTGACAAACTAAAGTCGATATGGAGAGGCAAAAGACCCAGAATAGCCAACACGATACTGAAAAACAAAGTTGGAGGACAGACACTAACCAACTTCAAGACTTATTATAAAGCTACAGTGATCAAGCCAGTGTGTTACTGGTGAAGGGTAGACAAACAGATCAGTAGAACAGAATAGAGAGCCGAGAAATAAACCCACACAAATATAGTCAACCGATCTTTGACAAAGGAGCAAAGGCAATCCAATGGAGCAAGGAGAGACTTTTCAACAAATTGTGCTGGAACAACTGGACATCCATGTGCAACAACAAAAAAAGAATCTAGATACAGGGCTCTTTCATAAAAATTAACTCAAAATGAATAGATCATAGACCTAAATGTAAGATACAAGACAATACAACTTGTAGAAGATGACATAGGAGAAAATCTAGGTGAGTCGAGTTTGGTAAGGGTGGTTCATCAAGCAGTTGTAGACACTAGCTACAGGCCAGGCTCAGGACTAGGGCCTGTGAGACATGCCAAGATGAAGATATGGTCCTTCCTTAATGAACCCAGTCTAATGCCCAAGCCAGAAGTCAGTTAACTTAATGTCCTTCTGACTGGACAAGTCTGAGAGTCACTGCCTCTCAGAGCTGGATCAATCCTGAAGATACACAGCCAAATGTGGTTCTCACTCTACCCAAGGCACATTAGATGCCCAGGAAAAGAGAATTGTCTGGCTTCACAGGATGGTGGTTATGGGAGAACAAGAGTTTTAATAGTCATGGGGCCAAGGCACAGCAAGGACATGGCTTTCTTCAGGTGTCTGGGCAAGGGATCAGTGGTGAGAGTTGTTGAGAGCAGTGAACCACAGGGATGGCCTGGGAGATGAAGCCAAATGCCCACACCTGGGCCTTTGAGAGAACTATACTCTTACATCACCCCCTTTGCAATTGTATCCTAGAGTTTTTGAGCTAGATGGGACCTGGTTCAATTCTTTTCTTTTATAGAGAAGGCAACTAATGCCCAGAGAGGTGAAGTGATATCCCTATGTCTTTCTGAGCAGAAACTAGAACCCAGGTGGGTCTCTCAGAGAGCAGGGTTCCTACGTGCTGGGTGAGTGGGAAGCCCTCTGAGTACCATAACCCAGCGCTGTGGCATAAGGGCCCCTTCTACATGTGATGCAGACACGAAGGCTGGAGATCGTGGCCCAGCTACCTGCTGCCCTCCTGACCTCCCCTCCCCTGCCTTGGGCCTGCTGTTCCCTTCTCTCCGTCTCCTCCCGGGGTGTTTCTAAGTGGAGTGGAGTGTCAGTGAATATTGTCCTCTATTATGACCCAAACTGGAAACCAGAGGCCAAACTGAGTCAGCCCCACCAGAGCCAATAAAAACCTTCAGGTCTGTTCCCTGCCACGGCCTGCCCCATCGCCACTTCCCACCCAAAGGGATGTAGCCATGCATGGCTCACGTGGCTTGCCAGCAGCCAAGGCTGGAATTCTGTCCGTCATTGGGTTGGCTGGGTGTAGGGGGTAAGGCTGGCTGGGGGTGGCAGCGGCTTGGCCTCTGAGAAGCCAGGAAGCAGGACCTGCCCTTTTGTCCACAGCAAGCCCCCCGGGAGTACAGCTGCCAGAGTCACATGGCACATGGGGGTGCCCTCACAGGGACTGCCTCCCCCAGACTGGCAGGACTTGCTGGGAACTGGCAAGGCCACAGTGTCTGTCTTCACCCTAACTCTGTTCTGACACCTGGCCAGCTGAGGTTTGGAAAAGCAGACAGCTATTCAGAGGTGGAAAGGTCCCCAGGGGCTGTGTGTGGGTGGTGCAAGGAGCACAGAGCTGGGAGCCAGAGGGTAGTGGCGCCACACCGGGTGAGTCCCTTCCCATTCTAGAGCTCAGCTTTTCATCTTTAAATATGAGCACTGGACTCACAGCTTCTAAGGTCCGTCTAGCTCTAAGACCACCTCCCTAAGGACGTGCTCCTTCCTTGGTTTGACAGGCACTTGCCTCCTACCTCTTTGACTTCCCTTTCTTTGTCCCTTCTTTTGGCTCTTCCTCCACCTGCTCTGGGAATGTGGGCTCCCCCAGGTATTGCTACCAGCTCCCTGATTCTGCACCCTCTCTACTTACAGAAGAGCCCAACCATTTCTTTGGCTTCAACTATTGACCTCTGGGTGGACGAGTCAGTCATCTCCATCTCCAGCTTTGACTCAGGAAAAGCTTAAGGGAAGTCTTTATAAGGATGCCCTTCCCTCTCTGCCCTAGGGTTCAGCTAAAGCTCCTTTCTGTCTCCTTGGGACCCCATTCCTTCCTATACCATCATCTTCAGTGGACGACCTCTCCTCCTGGCCTACTGAGGAGCATAGCAACCAGCTTTGAGGATTTCTAAGGGTTTTTATCCCTGCAGAAAAGGAGAAGTCCCTGGGTGGTGCAAACAGTTAACACTCTTGGCTGCTAACTGAAAGGCTGCAGGTTAGTGTCCACTCAGAGGCACCTCAGAAGAAAGGCCTGGAGATCTACTTCCAGAAAAATCAGTCACTGAAAATCCTGTGAAGCACAGTTCTACTCTGACACAAATGGGGTCACCATGAGTCAGAATTGACTCCATGGCAACTGGTTGGTTGTTTTGTCGGTAGAGAGGAGAAAAGGCAGAAGTGTAAAGGTCTTCTCTTTTCCCTCCTCCACACCAAACCCCTCCAGCTTCTCTTCTCCAGCTCTGTAGCATCCTCCCCTGGATGGGAAAGGCTGAGCCCCCCACATGCTTCTGGTGGAAGTTTGTGCAGAAGTCCACTGTGACAGCCTCCACCTCATTCCCCCAGGGCTATAAGCCTGAGTATGAGTGGAGTGAGGACTTCGAGAAAAAAGGATACCTTCCTATCCATAATCCCTCAAGCTGATACCACTGGCCCCACCTTTGAGAACCCAGTGGAGTTCATCCAGGGCCTTTCTGAATCTCACAGGCACTTGTGTGGGCTACTGACAGATGCTCGTGTTGCAAACGGAAGCCTCTGTCACCACTACATGTCACAGGCTGGTAATGGAGCCCACCTCGTGTTGGGGTATTTACAATGGCATTGCAACATTTAGCCCTTGGCTCACTTCAGCTCCTGAATCTCTAACTGCGCCGTGTCCTGCCTTCTCTCATCTCCTACAGTATGGAGAAGGAAGAGTGATGACAGCAGCTAACATTTGTGAGTGTGTTCTACTGTGTTCTGGGAGTCCCTGGGTGGTGCAAATTGTTAAGCGCTCAGAAGCTACCTGACAGGTTGAAGGTTTGAGTCCACCCAGAAGTGCCTCAGAAGAAAGGCCTGGCAGTCTATTTTCAAAATATCAACCATTGAAAACCCTATGGAGCACAGTTCTACTCTGACAGTAGGAGTGTACTGAAAGCACACCCTAGGTGCTTATCTGTTGGGCCCTGCAAGACTGTGGAGCTATTGAAGGATAGGTGTGGGCCACGCCTCCCACTCCCAGCCTGGACGCAGAGTCTGGCAAGTCGCAACAATTTTTTTTTTTTACTGTGTTCTATGCACTGAACCTTCAGGTGGTTGTCTCATTTTACAGATGAGAAACAGTGGTGCAGAGAG